ACGTGTGTTTGGTTGAAGGAAATAGAGGAAAAGGGGAAGAAAGTGGAAGACTTTCAAAATCCTCCTTGCTCCCATTCTAAACCCCTCAAATCGGCCTCAAAATATACATCTCCCACGTGAATGAGCAAAGCGTTATAATATAAAAAAGTAAAAAAACAAAAAAATTTGAAAAATTAAAAAATTTAAAAATTTAAAAATTTATAAATTTATAAATTAAAAATTTTAAAAATTAAAAAATATAAAAATTTTAAAAATTAAAAAAAAAATCGAAACTGAAAAATGAAAAATTATAAAACAAAAAAAGAAAAAAAATCAAATAAAATAAAATTATGACTCATGACCATAGGAGTAATATTCACAATAGTTAGACATGTATCTATTTTTTTAAGTAAGCTATCAAATAAAAGTAAATTGCGAAAATAATTTCATTAAACGTTTCCTCCTATTTCGTCCAACCAAACACAAATTTTTATCAAAATCCTTCCTTCCCCTTCCCTTCCCTTCCCTCCTTGACTCTCCCCTTCCCTCCCCTCCTTTGAACCAAACAAGGCCTTAGGGTGTGTTTGGGAGTAGGATTTTGGGGGGGAGGGGAAGGTTTTGGAGGTATTTTATACTCCTTCTAAATCCCCCAAAACTAATTTTTTCAGTTCCTCCGAATCGGGAGGTTTCAAAGGTTAAACAGTTCTATTTTGTCTCTTCTTCATCAAAAATCCAGTCATCAAGGAACCCAGGCCACCCGCATTATGCTCCGCATAGAATCCCAGATCACTTCTTCCACATTTTATATTTAGGCTAGCACTATTATAATACTCACTATTTTTATTGCTGAAAATATATTTTTTATTCTAAATACATTTTGAATACATTTTGAATTTTCCATAATACTCACTATTTTTACATATTTTCCATCTAATTCTAAATACATTTTGAATTTTGTTAAAAAACTTACATTTTGGCACCTTAATTTTTTATTTATTCTTATAACAATTTTTAAATTTTTAATGACTACACATCAACTGGGTTAACTGCCGGGTTCGAGTTGACTCATGATCCGGTCACTTGGCCGAGTCACTTTCCGGTCGCAACATAGGTTTGAGATGCAAGTATAAATTTTTACGATCAACTTAAATATTTGTACTTTTTTTTTGTAAAAGCCTTTGAAATGTGAAATTTAAGATATTAAAAATTGTCATATAAGACCTAAAATTTCATAGATTTTGATTTATTTATTTTTTATTAATTCCAATGCTAATTTTTGATGAATTTTTCTTCATAGAAGTTTATTAGTTTAATAAAATTAAATAATATTTTAATTTTATATAATAAAAAAAATCTCATGACAACTTAGGTCCTAAATTGATAGTTCTCAATTACTCGGGTTTTATACCGACACGTTTCATCTTTCAAGCCCTTAATTGATAATTCATACTTTCAGGTCTTGAATTGATAACATCTTTAACTTTATAATTCTTAATTTGAATTGTAATCTCCAATAGCCCCCCTCTTTTCAAATTTGTAACTCCCAAACACGAGGAAGGAATTCATTCCCCTCTCCCTCCCCATCCCTTCCTACTCCCCCTCAAAGCCTTCCCCTCGCCTTACTCCCAAACTCCCAAACATACCCTTAGTGTCACGAGGTGCATAGCAGTATAGCACTAGGTCATTCTGACCTGAAATTGTTAATAGTTTTGTGATGGTTTTGGTTCTGAACTCGAGGACCGATGGTAGAGTTCAGTCCATTATGAATTGGGTTTGCATGGTAAGCTTGGTTCGAAAGGGAACTTTGGTTCTCATCTATTACTTGTATTATTTGAATGATCGATGTACTTGTAATGGTTCAGCGATGACGAGTCTCCTCACAACAGTGTATTTGTTACTCTACACCACTTAAGACCAATAAGGTGGAGAATGTTCGAGGTATTGGTCCTACTGAAGCCTCCCGTCCACTTATTATGTTAAAGCCTGCACCCCATGTTTAGCCTTCTCTCTTATATCTCTTGTGACTCTACTCCTTGGCCAGTTGTATTACCGTTGCCTTCTGATAATTCAGTTTTGGCTCTGTGGCCTTACCTATCCATTGCAGCCTGTCTGTTAATTCAGTGTTTTGTCCTAACTTTCCCTACCTTTGATAATTGAGGACATCTCCTCTGTTATATTAACTAGGCATCTTCTTTCTTCTGTGTGTGGAGCGGACAAGAGACAAAGAGGTGTATGGAGTGTACGAGTGATTAGTGTGGCGTGAGACAGAGAGTGTGGCCATTGTCTTCTTCTTCCTTTGAGAAAGTTTCCTCTTTGTGAGTGAGAGATTGAGAGGTAGGAGTGTGCCTAAACTTGATGAGTTGGTGGAGTGGCTAAACAGTCCTGGGTGGTGTGTGTGAGTTGTTTTGGTTGGAGACCTGAGCTGAAATACACACATAATAGACATCCCATCTACAACACCTCACACATGCAAGAAATCACTCTTGATTGATTGATTGTGTGTCCTAATGTTCCATAGATAATTCCTTAGAGAAGAGTAAGTGATTGATCAAACACCTCAATCTATACACTCCATTTTCATTTTTAGCTATCAACTTTATTTATCAACAAACTTATGTAAATATTAATAGACTAATAGTGTATTTAATACTTACATTAGGTTTTCTATATGTAGTAGGTTTTCTAACACTACTAAAAAACCTCAGCATCGGTAAGAATTTTGGCTCGGACAAAATCTCTGCCAAAATTGTCTCGACGTTTGGCGCGGCAATCAAAAAAATATGGGTTGTATAATTGTTGGCATGGATATATCCGCTTCAAGAGTTTGTCTTGGAATTTCCAAGTCAAAATACGATCCAAAACCGGAAAAAAACCAAATTTTTTTCTTCTAAACAATTTGATCCAACTTCCGTTCCATTTTGGCACGGAACTGTATCCGTTCCAACACTGTTTTGATCTTTTAGTGTTTGTCTCAAACATATCCGAGCTAATACAATCCCAACCTAACTCCGTTTCAGCTGGGACGGAAATATCCGTGCCAACTTCAAGATGTTCCATAGATGTGGGTTAGTGCCAAAATCCGTGACAACAGTTTTTGAGCCAAACTCTGTGCCATAATTTTTAATACAATTTTTTAGGCTTTTGGCTCAAACGGAAAAGTCTGAGCCAAAAGTTGACCGTTACGCAAAACCCGTGTCAAATTCCGAGCCAAGAAGTTACCGTTGTGTATTCGAGGACTTATTTTCAAACGGTTGAGTCGAACGGAGTAATCCGGTCCAAAATCCGGGCCAAAATATGACCGTTTGGTTTCTGATAAGAATTTCCTTGTCAAAATCCGAGTCAAATAAAACTATAAATCCTTGCACATTTCTAAGCAAAAAATACATCTTCTTTTATGTATACATCTACACATTAACTATTCTAAGTGATGAGTTTTGGAAACAAAGGAATGTGGTCTCATTATGTGTTTGCTACGTGGAATATTTATATTTGGATATCTTAGAAGAATTATGTTCGGGCTATAAGGTATGTAATTTTATTTGCTTTATTAATCACTTTAAATAGATCAATACATATTTCATGTCTTGAATTATAATTAGTCATTATTTGTCTTATACCAATAAAATGTCGTGTGATAAGTTTTAAAAATTTACTTACTAGCATGTACTTTTAAATTTTAATAAGAATAAATAAATATTTATTAATTTATTTTACATATTCAGGACCAATGAATAGAGAAAGTAGAAGTTGGATGTATAGGCGATATAAAGAAAACGGTAGAGGATTGACTAAAGAGTTTATTGACGGAGTTGCTGAATTTATTAGTTTTGCACAAAGGCAAACACGATACACGGATGGAAATAAAATAAGATGTTCGTGTAGAGAGTGTAAAAATGCCAAGTTTCTTGATCCTCATATCGTGGAGTGGGAGTTATATACGCACGGTTTTAATGATAATAATTATAATTGGACTTCTCAAGGAGAACCGATTGATACATGTATTTTGCCACAAACCTTAGGCACATCTAACTATGTTCCTAACGAGATAGCTGGTTGGGGAAATTATGAAGAAATGTCATGGGAGCATAAAATGATTTATGATTTCGTCAGCCCTTCAACATTTCACAATACTCAAACAGATAATGATTTCACTTCACACAATAATGTGAATGAGGAACCAACTTCATCTTATTATGAGGTAGATGCGCTAGGCACTAGATTTCAAGAAGTCCTCAAAAGCCGTGCCAAATTTGAGGGATTTGGACGCTAAGTCTGGGATGCAAAATTGGATACAAAAGTCGTGCCAAATGTTGACATGGATCTCATATTCCGAGCCAACACGTTTGGATCGACTCAGGTGGCACAAATTGTTTTTCCGTGCCAAAGACGAGCCAAGAGCGATATTCTGGGAATTTCGTGAGGTTATCCGAACCAAAGTCGATCTCTTCCAATACCAAGGTTTTTTAGTAGTGTAATGTATTCAGGACACTTATTTATTACTCCCTCCATCCCATTTAAAGGTTCCAACGCTGTTACGATGTTTGACTGACTATAAAGTTAACTGATCCCTGTCATTAGTAGAATTATTTTTAATAAATAAAATGAACATATTCAGAAACTACACAAAAAGTTCTATAATACCTGATAAAAAAAATACATTTGATAAAAGTTGGATATATAATGTAAGAGATTAAGAACAATGCATGTTGCTCCGAGAATAGTAGACCGAAGCTTTAAATGTTACAGAGGAATTGAAGTCATTGGATTTGATAATGTTGAAATATTTTCCACATGAGCCAATAAAAGTACTAGGAATATTATTTTACTTCTATTAGAAGTTTAGAACAATTTCGTACGTTGTAACAAAGCAATAATTGCTATGGTTATGATTATGTCGGCATGGGTATATCCGTATACGTAGTATAGTACTCCGTATATGATAGACAAATATACAGTTATACACAGGAACGTAGCACATACGTGCGTCCTATAAATAGGGAGTGAAGATGATATAATGATCCGAAGCAGGCAAGCATCAATTCACCTTTGGAAAAATATAATATACTCCGAGTGAAAATGATGAGTGAACTAGTGCAAGTGAAACCAAAGGGAAAGGTTATAAGCATTCTTGCCATAGATGGGGGCGGCGTTAGGGGAATTATTCCAGGCACCATTCTTGCTTTTCTTGAAGCTCAGCTCCAGGTATATTCAATACTCCGTTTTATTGGATTTTGACAACTTTCTTTTATCGTTCAACTAAAAATTTGTCACTTTCCGATCAAAACAATCATGATTCCATTTATTTCTCGAGCATTTTTCTTTGCACAAACTTCAACCATACCACACGTCTTTTGCAGAAAATTGAGGGCAACCCAAATGCGAGGATAGCAGACTACTTTGATGTGATAGCAGGAACCAGCACCGGTGGGCTTGTGACTGCAATGCTGACCACGCCCGGAGATAATGGCCTCCCTCTATTTGCCGCCGCTGATATTCCCTCGTTTTATTTGAAAGAGTGTCCTAACATCTTCAAAAAAGAATCCAAAACTGCCAGCACCCAGAGCTTGGTCACTTCCTTATTCACTACAAACGTTGCTGATCTTACTGCCACTGTGGAAAACCCCAACTTTGAGTTGCCCCAGTTTTCGGAAGAAGATATCCCTGACTTTTACAAGCAGCGCCTCCCTCATTCAGCGCCGCAGCCGCTTCAGACGCCCATAGGGAATGCCCATATGATAAGTAACTTGAAGTAAGGATCACCGAACATAATACTTCCTACTCCCTCCGTCCCAAAAAATATTCTCACTTTCCTTTTTGGGTCGTTCCAAAAAATACTTTTCACTTTCCCTTTTTGGACAATTTTTGTGCTAACATTCATTTTACCTTTTTCTCACATAATTACAACCATATATTTTTCTACTTTATTCCATTTTCTTAATAAGCGTGCCAAATCAAACCAGGAAGTATATTTTTTGGGACGGAGGTATTATTATTTTATAACTTTTACGATTTGAAAGTACTTTTACCAAATAACATTTTTTCATATTATTTTCATATTCTAAACCATTTCGTATTATTGGTCAAACATGACCATTATTGATCAAGAAGAGTCAATCTGGTCAAGATTGAGCGAGTATATTACAATTTTTATAAAATGGTCATATCTTTAATGACCATTTTACGTCTTAATAACTTAGCGCCTAATCCTAAACAGCTAAATAACTTCAATTTGAATGAAATGGACCGGTCGATCAAGAAAGGGAATAGTAATTCCCCACTCCTACCGTCCAAAACAGGACACAATGTGTGGGTAACATCTATCAATCTTGGTACAACCGGCTATCAAATTAGTGAATAACTATAGTGAATATAGTTATTGTGATATAAATCGTGAACATAATTATAGTAAATAATGTTACTAAATCACATTTTAGACGTTATCTTTATTTTGATGCAATATTTGTGTAGTTTGTTTGCATTTCCGGATATTTGGGGTTGGTTCAAGAAACTAGGGTCTAGTGTGTGGTATGTCATCGAGTTCATTGAGAAGATGGGTTTTCGTCCAATGTATGATGGTGCTTACTTGCATGCCAAGATCAAAGAAATGATGAAGGACACCAAGCTTAACCAAACTCTCACTAACGTTGTCATCCCGACTTACGACGTTCATCACTTGAAACCGGTCATCTTCTCCTCCTTTCAGGTGATTGTTCTTATTCAATATATAGCGTTCTTGTATGTGAGTGTGCCCTGACATGGTGGTGTAAAAGATTTATTCAAGATGAATTTTGTTATTAGACATGATTTTACTTTGAACTTATTTCAATCTCAAACAAGACCAGTTCAGATCAGATCAAATCAAACCAGATCAGATCAGAAAATTTGGGTGCCTAGTTGACTAGTTTCTTTAATTAATCAATTGAATTGATCTAATTTGTAGGCAAGGAGGGAGGCTTCAAAGAACCCAAAACTAGCAGATGTTTGCATTGCCACATCAGCAGCACCAATTTACTTACCTCCTCATAGCTTTGAGTTGCCATCGTCTCAAGGGATTGAGAAGTTCAACCTCGTTGATGGCGGAGTTGCCGCCAACAATCCTGTAAGTAACAACGCCTTATAAGAAATTTACACAAAATAATAATTATTCTGTACTACGCGAGTACGCAAAGCATTATGTGCAAAATTAAGAGTATCCTTAATATGAATATGTTTACTTTACCATAAACTACTCCATAGAATATATATTCAAACTCTATTAAAACACAAGATTAGTGAGTAAAATGAATACCTTAGCTATCATTGTTGCATTAATATACCGTAATTTTTAAATGAAGAAAATTAGTATCATAAATTCATAATTATACGTAAATCTTTCAAACGATGATACCATTCAAATTTCTGGTCAAAAATCCTACGTGTAGCCCAATATTCTATGCATACCATTCAAATTTCTGGCCCAAATTCCTATGCGTCGCCCAAAATAATGTAAAATTGACTTTACGCTTGGAATTTGAGCTGCCATGCAGAAATTTTTATTTAGCCAGAAATTTGAATAATATCGTCAGTTGAAACATTTATGTATGGTTATGGTACTGATTTGATTCATTTAGAGGTTTAGTTATCAAAAGGAATCAATATCAATATTTAAGGTACCGTTTATACATTTCACTTTAAGATTAGTTGAAGGTGCACAAATAGGATTATATGTGTGTTATTTTCAAAATATGACTTATTTGATCCTATAATAAGTATCCTTGTCCCGCTTAGATTGTTCTGTTTTCCTTTACGTCAAATTTCATCAAAATTGTCTCATACCAAATTCGGTAAGATTGTGTACCTCAAAATCTTTTTTAATTTACTTTATTCTTACTTTATCAATTCAATATCAACCACATAAAATCACTTTTCTTAATAATCGTGTCACCCCTCACATCTTAATGTTAGTGGGACGGAGGTGCTATAAAACTTCCCTTGTTAGGAGGAACTGAGCAAATAAGTCGTCTGTTATAGAGAAAACAATGATGATTCTATACGTGCATTTTTTTTATATTTTAATCTGAATTTTCTTGAATGATGGATCAGGTGCTGGTGGCTATATTGGAAGCGGCAAAAGCTTACAATGTTCGGCCGTTGCCGGAAAATTTCAGGATCCTGTCATTGGGGACGGGGTCATGCACAGGCACTCAAATGGCTGAAGTGGGCGACGCCAGTAGTTGGGGCGTGGTGAGGTGGTTGCTGTTTCCGGACAACACTCCTCGTATCACCGATGTTTTCATGGGCGGCAATGAGAGCATGGTGGACGCTTACACCTCTCTGTTTTTCGGCGGCGCAACCGCTTCCGACGACCCCGACAACTTCCTTAGAATCCAATACCAAGGGATGAAGTACAATGAATGTCTGGTTGATGACTCCAGCAAAGAGTACTTGCAGAAGTTGGAACGGTTCGCTAATGATATGCTCAAGGACCCTGTTTCCGGCCCGACCACTTCCAACTCTCTTGGGCTCACAAATGAAGAGGCTCTCATTTCGTAAGTATCCAGTTCTCGTTTAGACCTTTCATTCTCTTATTCGTTACTCCCTATAACATTTTCACTCAACTTTTTCAAGAGATCGAGCTATGCTTCGTTACCCCATTTTGGGTACCCATTTCTATCTCACATATTGTGTGATTCACAACAGCTCATTATTTAAATGAGTTGTCTCACTTAAATGAATTGCCCCGTTTAAGCCACACATTAGAGGTGAGTACAAATGAGATACCCTAAAATGGGGTACCTATACTATTTTTCTTTTCAAAATTCTTAAAATTTGACTCCGCGCGTTAAGTTGTGTAGTAAGTAAGATTGACTGGATTGATTGATTGAAGTTACTACAGAAGATCATTTTAGCTATTTTTCACACACACATATATATTGAATTCATTAATAAAATATATCTTTAAAATATGTTTTTCATAATTCAACAAAATCAGAATTTAAAATATTTTTATAAATGCTTTTTTAAATATTTTTCAAAATTGACTGGATTGATTGATTTGAACTTACTAGAGAAGATCATTTTAACCTTTCATATACACTTATAGCTTTTTATAAAATTTAACACATTAATAAATAAAATGTAAGAAAACTCAAATATGAAAATAGTATAAAAGTGTGTGAATTATATGCATAATGAATTCATATTAATTAGACATGCAATTGTACGGAGTACATTAAAATTAGACTGGCCTAGCATAATTTATCATCAATATAATAATGATACTTCATCCGTTCTTTAATAAGTGTCCTCTTAGATTTTTCACGATTTTTAAGAAGAAAAATAGTACGGGTAATATAGAGGCCTAGAGGGGGTATATGATGAAAGAAAAAAGTAAGAAAGTGAGTATATTGGGAAGAAAAAGTAATGAAAAAGTAGGAAAGAGAAAATAGTTTGTTACTCCGTAAAAGTAAAAAGGTAGGGGTAATAAAAACAAAACTGTTTGATGTACACACCCTTGTACACATCTTATACACACCATGTTTGTGAAGCTTTTTTTGTCGGTGAATCCGGTTCACAGACAATATTTTGTTTGTGCAAAACATTGTCTGTGAGTCGATGTTCACAGACAAAAAAAACCTTTCACAAACATAGGTGTGTACAAAAGTGAGTATAAGAGTGTGTACAAAAGGCTTTTTTGTAATAAAAATGTGTATACCTTTAGAAAAATGTTGGGTGTACACATTTTTTGGGTAAACCTTTCATACACTTGTATGTCTTACGCACACATAGTTATCTGTACACAGACAACTCAATAGGGCCCCTACAGAGTTGTCTGTGAATAGACAATTCTGTGTATCCAAAAGACAGATAAGTGTCGAAATGTGTACACCAAAAGGTGTACACCAAGCACGGCTCATACCGTATTTCGATAGAAAAAACTCACTAAAAGGAGAAAGAAGACAATTTTAACTGATACCATATGAGTATTGCTTTATTTTATTAATCAAATGTATATATATTGGTCAAGGCCGTAATCAATTAAAAACTCTGGAGATTCAGCAGTTGAACTTCAATAACTTTCACCAACTTGAGTATATTTAACTATGTTGCAGGTTTGCTCATAACCTGGTGAGAGACAAGAAGCATTGATGAATTTGATGAGTAAGAATAAGGAAGCTAAGGGCCTACTTGAGTGCTGATGAAATTTTCATTCCCACTTTCCAAAATAATAGATCGTCTGATCTTACTTGGTGTGTCATTTTCAATAATAATAATAATAATGTGGTGTATGAAAGTAAATCTATCTGATCGATCATAATCAGCCACTCCAATATGTATGAATATTGTTATGCTAGGCTGCTCATCCATTTGAGGTGTGCCTTCATGGTAATAATAAAATCTTGGTTTGAGATATACTCCATATATTCTTTGTTTTCTTTTGCCTTGATGGATATGTCTAATTCGTATGGTTAAGTCCCAACCCTCAAGCATTTGGTGATGGTTCTAATTCGTATTACTCGTATTAGTATCGTATACTGCTACACATATTTTTAGTGCGACAAAATACAAATCATACAACAATTGATTCACTGTGAGTGGTTTTTATTAGTACTCGAGTGGAAACCCATCCATATTCCTCTCACTTTACCTATTTAATGGTGAAAATGTGACATTTGAAGACAACGACAAAAGAGAAATTGTAGTCATGGGGAAAATTAGAAAGTCATACAATCACTCAATACACAATGGCTTTCTCACCAAGGGTTTTATATTTAATTTATTGAGCATTTGTCAGTGTTGTGACAAACGTAATAATATTATTTTTCATTATGATAAATGTCTCATTGTTAATGGTAATACTCAACAAGTTACACTTGAAGGCAAACAATTTGAAAATAACTACAAATTACTACTCCAAATTAAACTGATTTATTATGTCAGCAATGTATGTCATATTCGTTCTTTAATGAACATTTAAGATTCACCATGTTTTTTTTGATATTTTTCAATTTAATTATTGCCAAATAGTTATCTCACAATATATCATGTGTTAGTCTATAAATCTAAAGCATCTATTCTATACGTAGTATGTATCTTATTTATCACTGTAATTCTATTTGAAATTGCTCTAAATAGGAGTAAAAACGTTTTGAAATTCTAAAATAGGAGTATCGTGTTTTTTATTCTCATAATAGGAGTAATCTGCCAAGTTTGGAAAAAAATGTCATGTTTTAAAGCCTAGTAATGCCAAACTTGACAGAAATTTACTCCTATTCAAGGAATAAAAAACATGATACTCCTATTTTGGAATTTCAAAACTTTTTTACTTCTATTTAGAAAATTCTCTTTAATTCTATATCTTAATATGACAATATCAAATTTATTATGACTTAAACATTGTAAATCATAAAGTACTTTAATATATATTTAATACTAATACAAATGACACCGGGAAAATCAGGAACAAATATACATGTAATCGTATTCACCACATGGTAACTTCATTACAACGTAATTGTTCCACTATATTAACGGGTTATGTTTAGCATAATTATGACTAAATTTTGATTAAATGGGTCATTAGTCCTTTCAAGGAAAAGATATGGTGAAATGTCTGTGTAAAAAATGTAAACTCAGAAAGTACTATGATAGAGATACAATTGAAACACATTTGTGTAGCAATGGTTTACAGAAAATTATTATAGATGCACTACAAAAAAACACGCCGTTTGTCACGGATTTTGTCACGGACGGTAGTTCAAAAATTCCGTGACAAATGATTTTTTGTCACGGATTTGTCACGGATCCCATCCGTGACACCAGGGGCGTGATAACGTTTTTGTCACGGAAATTAATCCGTGAGATTGTTTGTCACGGATTTGTCACGGCTACGGTTCGTGACAAAACACTTCACCAGAATCCCATCGCCTTTCATTTGTCACGGACGCATCCGTGAATAAATGTTTTTATTTTTCAAAAAAATAATAATTACTTGTCACGGAAATATCCGTGACAAATTAAAAAAAGGTTTTTCAAAATAGAGTGGGCGGGTATTTGAAACGGTCCGGAAAATTCAAATTTTAAATTTTGTCACGGACATATCCGTGACAAAATATTTTGAAAAAAAATTGAAAATTTTAAAATAGAGTGGGCGGGAGCTTTAAAATTTTCAAAAAATTAAAAATTTTGAATTTGTCACGGATCCCATCCGTGACAAAACATTTTTTTTAAAAAAAAAAAGTTGATTTAGCGTTTTATGTATTTAAAATAAAATGAATTTATATTTTGTCACGGAACAGTCCGTGACAAAAGTTTAAATTTAAAAAAAAAATTTAAAAATTCAGCGCATTTTTAAAAGTTTATTTCAAAAATTTATTTAATAAAAATAACCATTAAAATTTAGGCGCTTTTTCAAAAAATTAAACTTAATAATAAATAGTTAAACAATAATCATAATAAATAATTGTTTATAATAAATAATTAAACAATCATCATTAATCATCATTACACATTAGGTATCATAATAAATAATAATCTAATCAAACCATCATTATAAAACACAAATAAACTATTATTTAAACACAATCAAACCATTACACATTAATATTCATACATTAACACATCAAAATTTTAAAATCCTTAAAATGTTAATAAACTAATTATTACAAACCATCAATGATCATCATAATCAGCATCAGCATCATCAGGTTCGTCATCCATTTGTCTATACAACTTCTGTTTTGTCTATACATTATGCCTGTATATATATTATAATCAAAATAATATATAAGTACATTAATATTATTAATTAACTAAAAGCAGTACATTATTTAATTTGTGGCATTAATAATTTGAATTAACCAACTTTAATTTGTGACATTAACTAAAAGCGTTGATTTACTAATATTTAACTAATAGTAATATGTTAATGGCATTAATCGTTTTAATTATTAACTACTAAAGTTTGAATCCTAACTGAAATCACTACAAATCCTAAATTATATATTAACAATAATTAACTAATAAACAAATTAAACCTAATCATCATCATTGATCAATTAATTAACTAATATTTAAATCTAACTAATATTATCAACTCAAATTCCTCAATGTTTTAACTTAATTAATTAGTTAATTAATTTACATTTAACTAATATTATTGTTAAATATTATCTCATTAATAATTCACAATAATAATTCACAATAATAATTCACAATAATAATTCACACTAAACTAAATAAAAATAAAGTTTCAACCCGGCCTAGCTATATATATTATGCATCCCATTAACAATAATTAACTAATTTAACTTATTAATTAGTTAATTTCCATTTAACTAATATTGTTAAATATCATTAATTCACAATAATATATAATTCACACTTAACTAATAAAGTTTGAATCCTAACTTAAATCACTACAAATCCTAAATTATGCATTAACAATAATTAACTAATTAATAAACAAATTAAACCTAATCATCATCATTGATCAATTGACTAATATTTAAATCTAACTAATATTATCAACTCATCAAATTCTAAACCCATTTCCTCAATGTTTTAACTTAATTAATTAGTTAATTTCCATTTAACTAATATTGTGAATTATTATTGTGAATTCACAAAAATAATTCACAATAATAATTCACACTAAACTAAATAAAAATAAAGTTTCAACCCTAGCTATATATATTATGCATCCCATTAACAATAATTAACTAATTTAACTTATTAATTAGTTAATTTCCATTTAACTAATATTGTTAAATATAATTAATTCACAATAATATATAATTCACACTTAACTAATAAAGTTTGAATCCTAACTTAAATCACTACAAATCCTAAATTATGCATTAACAATAATTAACTAATTAATAAACAAATTAAACCTAATCATGCATTATCATCATTGATCAATTGACTAATATTTAAATCTAACTAATATTATCAACTCATCAAATTCTAAACCCATTTCCTCAATGTTTTAACTTAATTAATTAGTTAATTAATTTACATTTAACTAATATTATTGTTAAATATTATCTCATTAATAATTCACAATAATAATTCACACTAAACTAAATAATAATAAAGTTTCAATCCTAGCTAGCTATATTAATTATGCATCCCATTAACAATAATTGCTAATAAATAATAATTGGTGATAATTAACAACCTAATAATTAAGCTAGCTAACTAATTAATTAAATCACTACAAGTCACTAATTAATTAATCTATAATAAGCTAGTTAATACTTAAATCATCACTACACATCCTAAATTATTATGCATTAATAATAACAATAATTTAACTAATTAATATTTATATTTAAATTTAACTAATTAAATTACGTTAATAGTTTAATAATATATTGTTAATAATATGAAAATTAACATGACCTCACTAAATTACGTTAATAGTTTAAATAAATGAACAATAACTAACCTCACTAATTAATTATTAAGCTAATAATTAATTGTTATTATATAAAGAAAAAAGAATCCTAACCTCACTAATAATAATTAATTATTAAGCTAATAATTAATTTATCACACAATTAAAAGAAATTAGTTAAAATGACATACCTTATCTGCATAAACTCGGAAAATGATGAACTGACGGATTACATCATTCAATTTTTAAACCGATACTACATCACTCGAATCTACGAATTTTTGAACTGATAATTGTTGTTCTTGCAATTGTAATGGACGATGGAGTTGGGTTATATAAAAAATTTGTCACGGATTTGTCACGGATTTATCCGTGACAAATATTTTTCCGTACCGTATTATTAAAGGTTACCGCTGGAAAATCAATAATTGAGTTTTTTTGAAATTTGTCACGGATTTGTCACGGATTTATCCGTGACAAATCTTTTCCCGTACCGTATTATTAAAGGTTACCGCTGGAAAATCAATAATTGAGTTTTTTTGAAATTTGTCACGGATTTGTCACGGATCTGTCCGTGACAAATGCCCGGAAGCAAAAAAGTATTCACCGGAGTAAAAAAACGGTCGCCGGAGTAAATTTGTCACGGACCAAATCCGTGACAACATTTTGTCACGGATTTTATCACGGATAAATCCGTGACAAATAATTTTCGTGACAAATCCCAAAATTCCGTGACAAAGCCCGTGACAAATTTGTCACGGCCGGAATCCGTGACAAAAATCCGTGACAAACGGCGTGTTTTTTTGTAGTGATGGGATTGTCCTGGTGAAGAACTACCAATAAATCCTTGTATATATTGAGGATATGCACCAAGTGATGTGGAATCCTATGAAAATGCATCTCTTCATGGTAATTATATTGAACATAATCACTTGTTGGGATGCACACAAATGGTTAGGGAGGTGATGTATCCATTCTCCACTAACACCGAAAATGAAACCAATGATTTCAATGTGTTTCATTGTGGTGATGAAGAAAATGATGATAATGGTCTAGAGAGTGATGAAATGGTGTATCAAAACCCAAACGAAAATGCACGAGAGTTCTATAACCTCTTGGAAGACGCATCTGCTCCTTTGTATGATGGTTGTACGGATCACAACAGATTATCTGCGGTGTCTGAGCTCTTAAGCGTTAAGAGTCAATATAATATGTTTGATGCATGTTTTGACAAAGTAGCTTCACTTGTGGAAAGGATAGTTCCAGGTGATAACAAATTGCT